GCCGGTGTGCGTATCACATCGAGTCGACAGAAGCGCAGTAGTAGGTAGGTCACGAGAGATTGTAAAATGAGAACGCGGACTTGATGGCCAAAACAGAAAGTTACCAGAAGGAGACCGAAAGCCACCTCGAGGGAGGCGCGTAAGCGGTAAGAATATCGTTTGGGTGGAAGTAGAAAGCGCATAAAAAGACCCAGAAGGCTGGCAACAAGGGCTGAGAAGAGGAAATTAGCCACGTCCACAGAGAGACCAGTCCACTTGGACAGGGGCTGTAGGATGCGGCAGCCAGTGTAGAAACGGTCTTTCACGAAGACGTCAGTATTCTGATCAACTCTAACACCCATCACCAGACCGACTAGGATGCTGAGAATTCGCGCACCAGTAAAAGCGGTAGTACTTGTACCGTTTTTTAGGGACATTTCCGTGTTGTTGAGCGATGTGTTCATCATCATCACCACCATAGGAGTAGTAGGAGAGAGTGTGGAAGATAAGGAGGTGAAATTGGTTGGCTCTAATGAGTCGTAGGAGGGTGTCTGGGAAGAAGGAAGGCTCATTTATAGATCACCCACCACGGTCGCCGAACGCACACAAAGTTGGACAGAAGTTGAGATTCCGGTAGAAGTCACCTAAAAAAGTGAAAAGACACATAGACTACAGTAATTCTACAAACGGGTAAATGACGCTCGCAAAGCAGGCGAAGTCTACATGAAGCTGGAAAATCTGATGGAAACGCCGACGGAACTCAAGAAAGTCGTGAGCGTTTCAAAGACTGAAAAAACCCTGTGCAGAGCAGGGTAACTCCGAGACCTCTAATCGCATGATTTAGTAGTTTTTAACAGGGAGTTTCGAAGATAAGGGAAAATAAGAAACAAAGTCCGCCCACGAGGATGAACTCGGAAATTCTGAAACCACCCACCTTACAGTTATGAAAGGCGGTTGAGACTAGTACTTCTGGGTTTATCTGAGAAGATTACAATCACAAATTCGTCTAAGCTTACAGAGTCGGAGAGGGGCAATAATAAGAATTGAAACGTTCACCAAGATACTAATTATCACGCAAGGGAGAAAACCCAAAGCGAATAAGTTAGAGTAGGCGGTCAAAAAAGGGCAAGGAGAAGGCACATCGGATAGTCGGAAGGTTGTGCTTATACGTTAGAGTTTACCACGATGTGTCAAGCGCCAGCTCCTCGGGCTTAAGCCATTTTAGTAAAGACGAAAATTATATTTACAGGGATAGAGTAAACTCGGCCTGCGTGCCCCCGCGCGTTACTGTGGCCTAAAACGATTTGTTTAGGCGGTTGTGGCACGTATAAAAATCGTTCTTTTTCTCTGAGTGGAAAAAGTACGCTAAGTATGGTCTCAATAAAAGATTTTTAACATAGTAAGAGCGCTGTAGGAGGCATTTTAGACTGTTGAATCGATACAATTTTGTCCTTCGAAACAATAGCACTAATAT